TGAGGCGGAAGGATCGCCGGAGCCCAGCAGGTCGAGGCTGCGGTGGCTGGGAGCGGTCACCCCACTCCAGTCTGGGTGACAGAGTGAGACTCGACCTAAAAAAAAAAGTGAACCTCTGCTTGAGACTGTCAGCTCCTTGGGGAGAGAAGCCTTATCCCATGACCACTGGGTGGGCCTTCCAGTGCCATCCACCTTGCTTGGTACTTAATAATGGCTCAACAAATATGATTAGATGGATAGATGTAAAATATGGACTTGAGGGGAAAGAAACATTAGAAGAATAGAAATGAGCAGGACAGATGATGACTTAATAATAACCATAGCCTGAGCTCAGCATGGGCTCACCTGGTCCCATCACTTCTTTTTTTTTTTTTTTAAAGCAAGATTTATTAAGAGGACAGAAAAGCTTCCACAGTGGGAGGGGACCTGAGGGGTTTGCCGCGGTCCCATCACTTCTTAGGAACCTCACTTGACAAAGAAGGAAAGGGAGGCTCTGCAAGATCACATGATGACTCCCTTGAGGTCACGTGACTAGAGTGGCAGCGCCTCCGTCTGGAGCCTGTCAAGTGGCACTAGAGGTCCTAGTCCTCATCCCTGTGTTTGCTGCCTGTGTTTTGTGAAGTAGACTTGAGCAACTGAGTGCGGATGCTGTATTCTCCAGAATTTGTTTCATAATTCTTTACTTGAAGCTGAGGAATGTGTGGGTGGACATTAACCTTAAAGCCTGGAGGTGGCCAGTTTTTATTTGAAAACCACAATCAGTCACTCAAATCCTCGGCATGGTAAGTTAGCCTTAAAGAATCCCAAACTTTTGAGGCTGCCATATCTAAATCTGCAGCTGGGGAGTTCACGTATCAGCACAAGCGACATTAGAAATCATTATTCATGGTGTGGCCAGTTTTGTTCAAAATATGTGGCAAGAATCATTGTATAGGCAGCACCAGCCCTGCATAGGGTCAGAACAAGAGTAAGGAGGCCAGAAGCCTCACATTCTCACATGGCCCTGGCTCTGGGGCACCGCTCGATTCTGTGTTCACAACTGGCACGCAAGGACTCTGCCCTTTTTATTTTTTTTGAGGTGGATCTCACTTTGTTGCCTAGGCTGAAGTGCGGTGGCACCACTACAGCACACCACAGCTTCAATCTCCTGGGCTCAGGCGATCCTTCTGCCTCAGCCTCCCGAGTAACCGGGATTACAGGTGTGAACCACCATGCCCAGCCAGGTTCTGCCTTTGACCTGAGGTGGCAGACAGCAGAAAGTAACTAAACTGCGCAACAGCCTTTCACGTGGCCTCATTATTAGCTGCGTCTTCAGAATGACATTGAAGAATTTTATTTAAATTCAAGTATACCAAGCTGGGCACAGTGGCTCACACCTGTCATCCCAACACTTTGGGAGGTGGAGGTGAGAGGATTGCCTGGATCCAGGGGCAGCCGGGCATGGTGGTTGCACCTGTGGTTCCAGCTACTTGGAAGGCTGAGGTGGAAGGATTGCCTGAGCCCAGCAAGTCGAGGCTGCAATGGCCAAGAGTATGCCAGTGCATTCCAGCCTGGGCGACAGAGAAAGACTCAGACTCAAAAAAAAGAAAAAAAAGAAGCCCACCCTAATTGGGTATGGTGGCTCATGCCTATAATCCCAACACTTTGGGAGGCAGAGGCGAGAGGTTTGCCTGAGCTCAGGGGGTCAAGACCAGTCTGAGCAACATGGCGAGACCTCATTTCTACAATAAATCAAAAAATTAGCCAGGCATGGTAGCATGTGCCTGTGGTTCCAGTCTCTTGGAAGACTGAGGTGGAAGAATCGTCTGAACACAGCAGGTCGATGCTGCCCGCGGTGGCTGTGAGCAAGCCACTGTACTCAAGCCTGGGTGGCAGAGTGAGACTCTGACTAAATAAATAAATAAATAAAATTTTTAAAAATTCAAGCATACCTAAAATACTTAAATAAGTACACATTTAAAATAATACCTGCTCTAGATAATGTAAATCATCTCCTAAAATAACACAAATCTGTGGTCCTCCAGCACAGAGGAAACAGATACAAGACACAAGACATGCATCAGTGACAAGCAGGAGTCTGTGTCCGGGTTTAAAATCCTGGTCTCTAAGGTGAGGATGTTCTAAAAGCTATATTCTTTGCTTAAGAAACAGCTGCATTGGTCAGGCACAGTGGCTCACACCTGTAATCCTAGCACTTTGGGAGGCAGAGGCAAGAGGATTGCCTGAGTCCAGGGGTTTGAGACCAGCTTACGCAACTTGGTGAGACTTTATCGCTACAATAAATTTAGTGGTGGCTGCACCTGTGGTTCCAGCTACTTGGAAGGTTGAAGCAGAAGGATCACCTGAGCCCAGCAGGTCAAGGCTGTGGTGGCTGTGAGCGTGCCACTGCAATCCAGCCTGGACAACAGAGTGAGACTCCAACTCAAATAAATAAATAAACACAAATTCAAGTATACTTAAAATGCTTAAATTATTACACATTTAAAACAATACCTGTTCTAGATAATATAAATCATCTCCTAAAACAACACAAAGCTATGGTCCACTAGCACATAGAAAAGAGACACAAGACACGCATCAGTGACGTGTAGCAGTTCATGCCCAGTTTTTAAGACCCGGTCTCTGTGGCAAGACTGTCTCCTAATGCTCTAAAGTCTGCATCCTCTGCTGAAGAGACAGATGTATTGCATACGATGCTGTCTTCTTTTGATTTGTTGCTCCTTCTGTCTCTTCCTCTAGGCAAGATTTACTAATGCAAATGATCTTTTCAACTTAAAATATTTAATGATTATAAAGTGATGATGACACAGTTTAAACATGTAGGCCAGGCATGGTGGCTCACGCTTGTAATTCCTATTAGGGAGGCTGCGGCAGGAGGATCACTTGAGCCCAGGGGTTTGAGACCAGCCTGGGCAACATAGTGAGACCTCATCTCTACAAAAATTAAAAAATTAGCCTGGTGTGGCACACGCCTACAGTTCCAGCTACTTGGGAGGCTGAAGTGGGAATATCATCTGAGCCCAGGAGTAAGAGGCTGCAGGGAGCCATGATTGTGCCACTGCACTCCAGCCTAGACGACAGAAACCCCCAACTCTAAATAAGCAAATGGTAATGAGGAATATGGGGAGAGGTCAGGCATCACATTGTGGTTATAGGTTCAGGCTCTTTCATCGGAAAATTGGAATTCACCCCTTACTGGTTGTGTAAACGTGAGCCTCTGTGAAACGACAGTGGTATCATATTGAAACCTAATCGCTCCAGGTTGCAGCCAGTAAATGAAACAATGAATGTAAGGTTTTTAGTGCATGGCTGGGCATACTGTCATTAACTGACAAATGTTTTGATGATGATGGAGGAAGGTATGAGACATGAAGTACTTTGTTACGTTTACAGAGCAAAGAAACACATACAAGTCTCTCTCTGGGCTTACCATGACTTCATGGAAAGTACTTAAACAGAAAGTACTCTCTCCTGCTGGTGTGAGGCACCCGGGCCCCCTCCCAGGCTTGTGGCTACTCAACCCCATGGCCTTGGGCCTGGACTAATCTCTGTTGGCTTTGGTCCCCAGTTCCACTCAAGGAGGGGGTGACGTGACCTTCCATCTACAACCTCTGATCTCCTCTTCACACCCAAGAGGGGCTCCCATGAGGGGAAGAGCTGACAGGACACCGCCTGAGAACTGAGAACTTGGATTGAGTGTTTCATGCAAATTTTTGTTTTTATTTGTTGTTGTTTTCATATAAACTCATTCACAGTCCACTTTCTTTTTCTCTTTTTTATTTTTTTGAGTCAGGGTCTTACTAGGCTGGAGCGCAGTGGCGTGATCATGGTTCACTGTGACCTCTAACTCCTGGGCTCAAGAAATCGTCCCACCTTGGCCTCCCAAAGTGCTGGGATTACAGGCATAAGCCACCGTGCCCAGCCAGTCCACTTTTGATGAGAGAGATTAGCATGGCAATGCCTGCCTGTCCATACAGGCCTCACAGGAAGCAGCCACTTTCCCATCCACCCAGGACACACCTTGAGAATTCAACACAGACTAGACTTGGATTTTGGTTAGTCTTTAATGTTGTTCCAATTTTTTAACAGTAAACAAAGATGTCAGTACAAAACATCAAGAAATGTGTTATCTGTCAGTAGTACTGGACAGTGATAGTGGTCACAGTGCTGGAACCGAGGTCACTCACATTTTAAGTGGACACAGCTCATCCTGTCTTGGCGGCACCTGTGTTCTGGCTGTCGGAAGGCAAGGGCCTGGCTTATGTGGCACCAAGTGTCTCCACTTTACTGGAAAGCAGCATTCTCGTCTCTCCTTTGCTTGGCATTTAAAACAACTGTTCACTTTCCTTTTGTGTTAACAGTGCTATAAGAACTGAAGGGGTCCTTCCCTACTGTTATTCCAGTAGTAACAATATATACCATACCTCTCTGGGTCAGTGTCGCTGGGTAAATTCCTTCAGGATTAGCAATTACTAGGAAATGACCTGGGAGAGAAGGTATGGCACTCGCACACCCACTGCACACCCTCAGAGCTTGCAGTATAAGGCTCTGTGGTACAACGTGCCTACAAGCAGCCTCCCATCAAACACCGAGGCCACAGAGCTTCCCTGCAGGACAGACCCATTGTTGGCATAAACTGTCGTCACGGTAGGCTTCTCAGATAGAATGTTCTGGATGCGGAGGACCTATTCAGGAAATACAAAGTATCAGTGTAAGACCACCATACACTGGTGTCATGAGATCACCCATAAGCCCTGTCTCCCCCAGTGACACACTGATTCAGAGGACAGGCTGTCAAAAATTGCAGTTATCAGTATCTTTAAAGAACTTTCCAGACCTTCAAAAAACGTACTTTCTTGGGCCATCTAGTTATTCCATGCCAGCACAGGATTCAGTGCTATTATAACAATTCAGCATTAACAGAAATATTTTCCCACCTACTTCAGCGTGAACAAAAGTCAAGTCATGAAGTGAGCTGACAATAAACCAGATATTTTAATATTGCCAGTATGCCACCCAAGAAGGGCACATGTCTTTATAAAAATGCCTTTTGACTAGTTTCCACCATAATTTAACACATCAAAAGATTATCTTTCTTAAAGTGTTTGAACAAAGTAACCTTCTGCCAATTATTGGCTTAAAGCAATTATAAACCCACTACATAAGTTTATTGTATTTTTGGTTTAAAAGAACTAAATAAACCATCCCCATGACAGTCTACTCAATTATTAGTTTAACAGAACTTAAATACTTAAGGTTGAAAAACTAAACATGTGAAAACCTCTGATGAGGGTGGGTTGCTGGGGTCATAAATGAAGAGCTTCTGGCCGTTGGGATGACAGCCTGCCCAGATGTCCCCTGAGGAAGGGTCGATAGACAAGTTATCCACCAGCGTATCCAACTCGAGGACCTTCCGAAAGAAACGACAATATCTGAATGGCATGAGAAGCTTGACTCCATGATTCACAGCCACCTCTGTGACAAGGGGAAATGACACAGCCCCCGTCCCCAACTCTCACACTGATATTGTTTTACATAAATGCAACACACTGGTTTAAAGTCACTTTTCATCTTTCCTGGAATTAGGACAGAGTAATCATCAGTCTCTCTGAAAATATCTTTAAAAAATGAGCCCCTTCTCTCTTCAGTGATGCCCAATGATCAATTAGGCTCAAGGAACTCAACCAAAGCAAGACAAGAGATTCTTAATCAACCTAAAATATGTGTTGTTGGGCAGGAAGACAGTGAGACTGGTGTGGAACTCTACTTCTACCTTCATTTACTACTGAGAGGACTGACAACGACGGCATGGATTTTCATTTGAGAATCCATCTGTTAGTCCTTTCAGTTGTGAATGCTCTTCCTGGAATTCATTGCTACCTACGGAATGAGCCCTAAATCTGATGGGAATCCCACTCCCCCCCAGCCACTGTGTGTAACCACGGCCAGTTCTTGTGGTTGCTGGGAACAGGAGTGTACTCTAGTTGTGGGAAGAAATATATATATATATATATATATATATATATATATATATATATTTTTTTTTTTTTTTTTTGAGTTGGAGTCTTACTCTGTCGCTCAGGCTGGAGTGCAGTGGCACACTCATGGTCACTGTACTCTTGACCTGCTGGACTCAGGTGATCTTTCCATCTCAGCCTTCCAAGTAGCTGGAATTACAGGAACGTGCCACTGCACCAGGCCAGTTTTCTTATTTACTGTAAAGATGAGTCTCAGGCTGTTCTTGAGCCCCAGACTCAGGCAATCTTCTTGCCCCCACCACCCAAAGTGCTGGGATTACAGGTGTGAGCCACCGTGCCTGGCTGGGAAGAAATCTTTTAAAACCCGAGTAGGTACACTGGCATTCATATTCTAAGTGTGGTACTGTTACCATAGAGTATAACTATGTAATGGCAAAGCATAGTAGATTAATATCTATATGTAAAAATAAATATCTTACCTTCCGTTGAGTTAAATTCATATTAGGGTGTTTTTCCAAAACGTGAATTTCGTGAGCCAATATGTCAGCCACATAGATAAACCTTTGCAGAAAGGACACACTGATCAGGGTTCTGTGGCAATACCCCACTTCATTAATACAGTATGAAAGAGTAAGATTTAATAACCTGCCAAGGAGTTAATCAATGATGGGCCCTCAAGGAACACTTGATAAAGGTCAATTTTTATTTAAAACGTAAGCTTTCAAAATCAACTCAGTGGTACTACAACAATCATGGAATTATTAAATTATTTTTCAAAGGACCATAAGGAAAATAATATAGCACATCATTTTGAATATAAAGTCCTTGATATTTTCCACTGAAATGACAATAAGACAAATGTTTAGCTTTATAAGAAAGGTCTTTATATTCCACAATATAATTTGCTATTTCTAAGTATCACTTACATATAGAAATACATGGTACAGAACACATTTTATTAAAATACTTATTCAATATAGCATTTACTAACACATGGAGAATTTGAAGAGTAAGAGATAAGTGTGTACTCAGAAGAACCTGCCTGCATGGCATGGAGTGCCTTAATGGACTCCTTAAAGGGGAGTTTACTCATTGATGGACAGCTCCATGGCAACCGCCCTGTTGAGTACAGACCCCGTGAAGAAAGTCATGAACTTGGAGCTGTGGCGGACACAGACATTTAGAAGACTCAGCCTCCCTCTTTGAGAGTTTACAGCGTGGGGGCCAGCCACATGGGTCTGCACACGTTCAACACCCAAGACAGCCCGATGGGGACCATGGAAATGGTGCTGGCCTAGAGACTGGAGAAATGTCCCACTTCTGTGCATGCAGAAGGTACCTGCAGGCCGAAGGGACAGACAGAGACTGAGGTGCTGAGGCTGCAGTCGCTGGGCAGAGGCGAGCGCAGGGCAGGAGTACAGGGGCAGGACGGGGGAGGGTTTTTAAAACAATGAGCGCTTTGTCCAGAGTGTGGAAGTGTGCCCACAGGGACGAGGAAGGAGGGAGCTGGTCCTTTCAAGCACTTAGCCGGCCTTATAGTGACAAGCAACTGGATTCCATTCGATTTTTAGAATAACAGAGTGGCATCAGAACGGATGGTCAGTGCTGTTCAACCATCACTGTGCATTTGTTTTGCGCCTAGCCCTGGATCCCCCACAAGGAGCCCAAGGGGAGGAAGGCAGTGCTCCCATGCCAGGGAGCCCTGTCATGCTAACGGACAAAAGGATAAGATTGGCACAAGTGCAAAAAATGGGGGTAGAGAGAAAACAAATTGAGGCTGGGTGGAGTGGCTCACGCCTGTAATCCCAACACTTTGGGAGACCGAGGATCACTTGAGACCAGCCTGGGCAACATAGCAGGATCTCATCTCTACAGAAAAACAAAACAATTAGCCGGTCATGGTAGCATATGCCTGTAGTCCCAGTTACTCGGAAGGCTGATGCAGACGGATCCTGAGCCTAGGAGGTAAGGCTGTGGTGAGCCATGACCATGCCACCACACTCCAGACTGGACAACAGAGTGAGACCCTAACTCAAAAAAAAAAAAAGTGAGATAATTTTGGGACAGTTGGGCAATACTTACTGAAGTTAACATTTCCAGGATTCACACTGTTTGAGCAAATAGTTCTATTTTCTTGGAGTTTGTTCCACAGAAACGTTGTACAAATGTTCAGAGGGGAACATAATACCACTCAATCAGTGCCCACACTGGGATTTGAACCCAGGCCTGAAGGAGTTCCAAATCTGCAAGTTGAGCTATTATGTTATAATGTTCTCTGAGGGAGTTTTTCCTTAATAAACATTTGTTTAAATTTCAGTGGTAAATTATAAGTATAAAATTGTTTTTATACAGAAAAAGACCTACATACCCATCAACAATGAATTGGTTAAATTAGCTTAAGCTCATCCTTATAATGAAATTATATATAGCCAATAAAAACCATGATATATTTATTTAAAAGAAAATACCTACCCAATACTTTAATATGTAACCTCAATATGATCATACTTCAAAATTTACATTTATGAAATTAAATCTACAATAATATATACCAAGCTTTATATATTGTATACACATTCATATAATATATACTTATATGTAAATACATGTGATACATATAAGAATATACGATATGTCCATATATCTACATAATATATATAATTATATACAGTGTATATAATTATATATAGTGTGCATACAGTATATATACAATATACTTAAAATGTCAAGAAAGCCATTTTCACATTGGAAAAAAAAGCAAAATAATGAATTTGATCGGCACCATAACTAAGAAAAAATGAAGATATTCTGGAAGGGGTCGTACTTATTATCAGGCGAAATATTGATTCCATTTGCTGAGTCAAATCCTTCTGCTACCACTTTAACTTCATTTGGACTGTAGTAAACAACGTTGGCCCAGCGTAAGTTCAAGTATGTTTCCAAATACTTCAAGAAAGGATCGGAGAAGTAGTGGTCATTGGTGGCATAGAAATGTGTGGGTCCCACAGCTGTGACATCATTCACGCTGGAAGAGAAACATGACACGTGGGAGACAGTATGTCTCACTGGTCTCCGTGGCAGGGATTAAGTGAGGCTGATACAACATGTGGGCTATACTTCTGGTGAGAAGTTTTCCAGGAAAGGGTGAGCTTAATCACATGACTACAGTCATAGGTAGAACACTAGAATAGTGTGTGCCAAGAGCACTTTTATATGATACCAGGTCATTTAGCAATTATGGCAGGATTATTATAAAAGGAGAGAGGGACCAGGCTTGGTGGCTCAGCCTCTAATCCCAGCACTTTGGGAGGCAGAGGCGAGTGAATTGCCTGAGCCCATGGGTTCAAGACCAGCCTGGACAACTTGGCAAGATCTCGTCTCCACAATAAAATAAAAAAATTAGCTGGGCATGGTGGAATGTGCCTGTAGTTTCAGCTACTACTTGGAAGGCTGAGGCAGAAGGATCGCCGGAGCCCAGCAGGTTGATGCTAGGGTGGCTGTGAGTGTGCCATCGCACTCCAACCTGGGTGATGGAGTGAGACTCCAACTCAAAAAAAAAAAAAAAAAGAAAAGGAGAGAGGATTTAGTGCCACTAGGGCATGCTTTTTGACAGCAAAACATGTAGGGTTTAACAATTACATGTAGTGATGAGCCAAGCACAGTGGCTCACGCCTGTCATCCTAGCACTCTGGGAGGCTGAGGCAAGAGGACTGCTTGAGCCCAGAAGCTAGAGATCAGCCCAGGCAACATAGCAAAGACTTGTCTCTACAAAAAAAAATAAAAAATTAGCCAGGCATGGTGGTGTGTGCCTGTAGTCTCAGCTACTCAGGAGGCTTAGGAAGGGGGATCACTTCAGCCCAGAGGGTCGAGGCTACGGTGAGCCAGGATCATGCCACCACATTCAGCCTGAGCAACAGAGTGAGGCCTCACTCCAAAAAAAAAACAAAAAAAACAAAAGGAAAAAAGTCCCCAGGTGAAGACTGAGCTGTCGTCAGTGCAGAGCTGGTGTAAGCCTGCCAGCTCTGAGGCTGTCGGCAACATTCACCAGCTTCCACGGGCTTAGTTGCTGGGTCTTACCAAGTTTCCTTGCTTAGTTGTTCATTAGACTTAGGCTGACTATTCAGTTTCTCTCTGCCTCGTGAAGTCGGCATATCAAGAAAGAACAGGCACTCAGTGAGCACTTGCAGAGATGGGCGATGACACGGCCACACACAGTACTCAGGCGAGACTCACACGCTAAGAACAATGACATCTTTAAAGCCAGGTAGGCGAGAGTGCTTTTAAATCTGAATTCCAATTACGCTGTGCAGAGACGTCTGAAAGGACTGCTTAATTCTTAGTTAAATGAACAACACAGTGCTGTGGAGGGAGGGGGTCTCCTTCCCTAAGGAGCTGCACTTCAGGGGCCCTGCGTGGCATCTGTGCTCCTGCTTCTGATGAAGGGCCTTTCTGGAAGGAATCATCAGAAGCTACGTGCTTATGTCCAAGACAGGGAAGCAGAAATTTAAAAGAACCATTAAGTTTAAACTCAAAGAGCAGCAGGTCAAGGTGAGTCAGACTGGGAGGTGCCAACAACTCCTTCAGCTGTCCACTCCCAGCCTGAGGTTTCTCATGCAGCAGTGACCCCGCTTCAGCCCCAAGGCCTCCTTCTAGGGGCCGTGAGCCCCTGGCCCCCACCAACCCTGTGAAAGCACCCCATGTGAAGTCCCACACAAGGCCAGTACATAGTAGGCTACGCTTCCTTGGCGAAATGGGTGTTGATATTATTCAGGTGACAAGTCATCTACAAAGGAGGGTGATAGTAGGAAAAGCAGGCCAGGTCTGTCTTCTGCCCTGTCGTCAGCATCTCATCACCTCTCAAGGGAGCCTGTATGGAGTGCCGACTGTTACAAGGAGTGACAGCGACTCCATGTGCTGTGCTCTCCCTGGCTACAGGGAAGACGTGGTGTGTACATACATAAATATGTATTTGTAAGTTATAGATATAAACTCTTGTGTTACACATGGTATGTATCATAGATAGTTCTTTTATTCTGGCCGTTAGGTGTACATTAGCTCTTATGAAAGTGAAGGACCACCTGCCCTGAGGAGTATTGAAAAATGCTAGAACGAACAAGATGAGACAGTACCTTGGAAGAAGCTCGTGTCTGATTGTTTTCAAATGCAACAAAGAATTTTCTTCTTCTTCAAATTTAAAAATTTCCACAGTATTTTTGAATTCTGGGTGGTTTACAACGAAGAGATACACTGTGTCATCTAAAGAATGGAAAAAACAGCTAATGTGCAAGACATGGCAGATGCCCGCAGGACCTTAGGGCAGACGCTGACATTTCAACACCCAAGTAGGGAGAGGCTGAGCTATAACTTGACGACCAGTCTTCTCTGTCCTGTCTGTCTGCTGTGATTTCTGACTATTGGTCCCCTGACCTTTCAGCAAGAGTGTTTTCTGCTCTAGATACGGAATCCATGCAAACAGCAAGATCTTGTCTTTCCAACATGCACACTCTGCTTACAGTTTAATTCCTACATACAGCTCTTTTTACTGCGATGATCATAGGTATAGGAAAAGGTTACAAAGTATAGACATGCTTTCAGGGCTGTTGGAAAATTCAAAACACAGCACAACTAACTGTTGGTTAGTGGCAAAGGAACAACCTGGTTGTTTGAAGAATACAGAAATAACTCATGAGTGACCTGGTGTGGTGGCTCACGCCTGTCATCCCAGCACCTTGGGAGGCGGAGGCAAGAGGATTGCCTGAACCCAGGGGTTCGAGACCAGCCTGGGCAACTTGGCGAGATCTTGTCTCTATAATAAATTTAAAAAAGGAGATGGGTGTGGTGGCTCATGCCTGTCATCCTAACACTTTGAGAGGTAGAGGAGAGAGGATTGCCAGCAGGTCGAGGCTGCAGTGGCCGTGAGGATGCCACTGCACTCCAGTCTGGGCCACAGAGTGAGACTCTGACTCAAAAAAGAAAAAAGAAAGAAAGAAAGAACTCATGGGGGGACGGGCCTCTCCTGAGGAACAGCATCAAGTCTGCATCCACATCAGAGCATCTCTCACCGCGGTCGACGAACGTGCTGATGCCATGTGGATTGAATGAGGCCAGGTCGAACCCGCGGCTGACCCTCAGCTCCAGTGCCCTCGGCCTCTCCTCCTTCAGGTCCATCAGCAGTATTCCTCCAGGCTTGTCGGGGGCGAAACTGTGGAGGCCAGGAAACTTGAGACCCTTTTCCAAGACAGTGAGAAAAATCCTGAGTGCTTCCATGGACTCACATGGGAACTCTACATAAGCAACAGACTATGAACACGGGGTGGGGGGAGGCATGAAACTACAAGCTCAAAGCAGACAGAGAGGAGCACAGAGCAGAAGGTTACTGGAGTTTTGGAGTTGAGTAATGCCGGGTCTTGCTGAATGGGGCAGAGGTCAGGGAGGCGATCCCTCCTGGGGTGACAGGAGAGTCCAGGAGAGCTAAGGTGGCCACAAGTGGAAAGCCAATCTTGGCTGTGGAATGTGCTCAACTTCCACGGTGCCAGGGTCTTGAGCAGCAGCGTGGTTGGGCCCTCCTGGCCTGCATGTTCTCTGCAGCCCATCAGTAGCCCATGATGACACACCTTGAAAGCATCCCCCTCATGAAGATGCGGGTGGCTCTCACCTCTTCCTCTGCGGTGGCCCTGGTCCAGAACTCTACTTGGATCAGGACAGTCGTCCCTCACTGGCTGATTTCTGCTTCCACCTCAGCATCCTGAGGACAGCAGGTCCTGACACAGCATTCATCAAACCCTCTAACGGGTCAGGCACAGTGACCTCCTTCCCTTGATTCCTTATATTAGTGCCAAGTGTCACCTCCCCAACGAGGCTACCCTGCCCTGGCATAGCCTGCTCTCCATGCCTGTAATCCCACACTTTGAGAGGCCAAGACAGGAGCATTGCTTGAACCTGGGAGTTCGAGGCCAGCCTGGGCAAACAGCAAGATCTTGTCTTTCCAACAACAGCAATAACAATAATAACAATCAAAAAATTAGCCAAGTGTGGTGGTGTCCACCTGTAGTCTCAGCTACTCAGAGGTTGAAGTGGGAGAGGTCAAGGCTGTGGTAACCCATGATGGTACCACTGCATTCTAGCCTGGACCACAGAGTGAGACCCCCAACTCAAAAAACAAAGACACGCTCTAACAGTGTCCTCTAGCTCACCCATGGAAAGCCCGAGGCCCTGTGGGACCAGCCTTCTGCCTCCCACTCAACCCCCTATCCTCAGCCCCTAAGACTCCTTCTCATACATGTGACTTTGTCAGCCTGGCTTACTTGATGTTCTTCAACAAGCCAGGTACACTCTGGCCGCAGGGCTTTGATCCATGGTTGCCTCTGCCCGGGGTATGTCCCCTCAGAGGACAAGGCCTCCTTCCCTTGATTCCTTATGTCAGTGCCACGTGTCACCTCCCTGAGGCCACCCTGCCCTGGCACAGCCTGTCCTCTTTCCCCACGCTGGCTCTTTCCCCCCGCCCTGCTGCCATCTGACGTGTACAGACACTCATGTCCATAAGAATGCTCTACACATAGGGCTGATGGGCTGACGCAGGCAGGTGGTAAGGAGGTCCCATCTGGTGGCCTCCTCCCCTGGGCCTCCATGCTGCTTCTCCTCCTGCTGGTGGGTCTCTGCTCCCAGATCTGCAGGACTCCCTCCTTCCTGCCACCTGACCTCTGGGCAGATGTCACTCATCAGGGAGCCCTCAGCTTACCATCTCAGAAGTGGCAGCATGACACTACTTGTCCACAACTGTCACCCTCTGCTGCCCTACCTTCCTTTATTTTGTTAGAATGCTGTCACCATTGGACACAAATTCACAAGCCCCTTAGGACACAGGCCAGGCCACTGTCTGCTCTGTCTCCTGCCAGATCCTGGTGCCTGGAATGGTGCCTGGCAATACAGTCCATCACCTTTTGTGTGGTAGGCCCCACTTGCTTACTGGTCTATTCGGGGACTCGCTGTCTTGTTTGTTGATGCCTCATGCCTATTCCTGTGCCAATATACCGTTTTTTATATTACCATAGCTTTACATTTACATATAGGATATATGTATAAGTATCATATATATGGGAGATTAAATTGCTATTCTGAATGGAATATTTTTATTATTGCTATTATTTCTTTTTTTATAGGTAATGCCATTATTTTTCAGAGATAGATAGGTTTGGGGTACTTCTGAAATATTTATCTGCATATTTTTGTGGTAAAAATATGCATTCAGTCTATATTACTGTGGGTAATAAAGAGAAGCCAAAATCCAAGGTGTCCACTCGAAGCGCCCCAATGCTTTAGAAGATATTGTTATTTCACCTGTTTTTTTCCAGTGCTTGGGGAAGCCACTGGGTTTTGTATGTTCATTTTGAATCCAACTATTTCATTGAACTCTCCTGTTCTACCAGTTTGTTAGTTGAACTTCTTGGCTTGTTTATAAAACAATGAATTATTTCATCATCTGAAAATAATGGCAGTTTTGTAGTTTTTTGTCTTTCCTTCTTTTTTTAGACAGAGACAGGGTCTTGCTCTATCACACAGGCTGGAGTGCAGTATGCAATCATAGCTCACTGAGCCTTGAACTCCTGGGCTCAAGGAATCCTTGTGCCTCGGCCTCTCGAGTAGCTGGGACTACAAGCGTGTGCCACCATGTCTGGCTAACTTTTCAATTTTTTTTTTTAGAGACATGGTCTTGCTATGTTGTCCAAACTGGTCTTGAACTTCTGGCCTCAAGCAATCCTCCTGCCCTGGCCTCCCAAAGTGCCAGAATTATAGGCATCAGCCACTGTGCCCAGCCAGTTTTCTTTCTTTTTTCCCCCCTATCTCACATTTCTGTCTTATTTTCTAAATTCTTAAGAACATTAGTAGATTACTGATGGTTATGGCCCTATTGGGCATTTTCTTTCTGTTCTGAACATTAATGGGAATGCAGCCGTTTTACCACTAAAAGTGATGCTTACTGCAGGTTTCTGGGAATTCTCCTTTTCTTGCTTGTTTGCTTGAAGCCTTTAATCAAGAATGAGTATTGAACTTTATTAAATATTTTTCTGCACTCACTGAGATGATCTAGTCTTTTCTCTTTTAAATCAGTTATTTAATAGATTACCTATCTATCTATCTATGATTCATCCTTGCATTCTCAAGTAAAGCCTTCTAGGTGATAATAAATGTTATTTGAAAGCACTATCTTATTCAGTTTATTAATACAATGCAGTCACATTTATGCAAATTTAAGATACTATATAAAATCAAGACTCACTTTATGCATGAAATTGTACCTAATAGGAAATCCTCTAATTTTAAAAAATCTACCTACAGATGTGTATGCTCATGACTGGCAGGCACCAGGAGTGCCATGCATATGGCCATGCCACCTCACATGTTAACATCCCCTGCTCCCTGCCAGAGTCCTAAAAACAACAGCATGGCTCACACACACACAACACCCTGTCAGATGGAAAAATGATTCATGACTATTTTAGCACCCCCTATTCTTTAAATCTTGTTTTCTCTTTTAAATTTTTTATTTTTTATTGTGACAAAATACACTTAACATAAAATCCACCATCTCCACCATTTCCTAAGAGTATAGTTCAAGTAGTGTTAAGTACATTCACATTGTAGTTTAATTTTTTAAATATTTTATTCTATGCCATCCAATCCCTCATCAAGTGTGATGCTGGTTCTGAGGTGACCCTCAAACCCATAGATGTGGAATAGGTTGGGTTAGATGAGCCGAAACATTAGAAAAAGAACAAATCCCACCATGTGTGAACTCTTCATTCATAAGCAAGCGCATTCTAGGTGTGTTAGAGACGACAGCCGAGTCCTGAGTCCACAAGCAACAACAGTGAAATGAGAATAAAAGGTCAAATAACCAAGGAAAGAAAACAAAAGAAACTTCTGCTGCCTCTGTTACGAGTTCCTGGCCCCTAGCTAAGATGCTTCTCGATGTATTGCAGGATCCTGGCCCCTGGCTGAGATGGCTTTCCATGTGCTACGAGATCCTGGCCCCTAGCTGAGATGCTCTCCATGTGCCTACGGGATCCCGTCCCCTAGCTGAGATGGCTCTTGTTGTGGTTACAAGATCCTATCCTAGCTGAGACGGCTCTCCATGTGTTATGGGATCACGGCCCATAGTTGAAATGGCTGTCCATGCATGTGCCTGGAGATGTCACCTCTCTTAGTTCAGATTTATTCCCATGGGGGCTGGGAGAAGTCTTGAAGTAGGTAAATTCTCGGTTATATAAATCTCCAAGAACACATCCTTGAAGATAAAAAAACAAACAACAACAAATAACCAATGCCCCTGCCTTCTACTTTACTCAGAATTTTCACATCTCTTCTTAAGAGTGATTTGGACTGGTGGGTCCAGTGTTTTCCCTAAACCTATCTATATGCGCAAGCGTGCACTTCCATACAAACCCATAATTTGACTATAAATACCATTTGATTCATTCTGTGCAGGCGATCAAATACAACTTTTCTCTTGAAATCTTATTTTTAAATTAAATATACACATTGGTGTTTCTGTTAAAGCTCATGGCATTTCTTTTCCCTGGTGGTAATAACCAGTTGCTCACAGTCCTTCCTACAAAAGCCAGAAGGAGCCCACAAGTGTCCTGACACTCACTTCCTCCCAAGTCGAGTTTTCTCACCTTTAGTGTAGGCCTGATTACTATCTTATTAGAGCAGTAACTCTCTTCTAAAGTGTCTCCCAGTTTTCCTGAGTCTCAGAGTCTGAAAGTAATGGCTGTTAAGAGGGAATCGAATCATTGCAGGCAGCATTCAGAGATGGATGCTTCTACCTCAAGAAGAACTGGACCGTGGAGGTGCCAGAGCTGACCTCAGCCCTTGACAGGAGGCCGGGGGTAGGGACTTCTTCATCTGCCCCTTGCCCAGATTTCCCACCAGAATGGATACTGTCCAAGCCAGCCTCATACAAGCCAAGTAATTCTAGTCTTTCTACTGTGTGCCCAGAAAGGACACGATTTTTCAGTTATAAGAATCAAGCAAAGTGAAGGGCGTGAATCAGCCCAGACAATGACTGCCCACTTAGGCCGTTCATGGGCAAAAGAAAGAAAGAAAAAGCACTGGTCTCAGCATGAAAAAATTGATATATTGTTTGAAAAATAATAGTGGCAAGAACATTGGTTTAAAGTTGAGTACGGAGTGGAAAGAAAGGTGGATCCTGCATTGAAAACAATACAAAGGCAGTACTGGAGGGCACAGTGGTGCATCAAATATCTTTTTCAATGACGCACTTTTAAAACACAGATTGTGCAGGAAGAGAATGAAGACCCATATATCAGCTGGCAGAGAGTCCTCATCTTCCTATTTAGAAGAAAGGCTTGGGGAGGCCCTCCAAGACCTTGTCTGACCTGCCTTTTTTTCAGGACGTGTTTTGAAAAATGAGAAATTTTGAAAACAAGTTACTATTGTGCAGATCTAATCAAACCCTTCATAGCTAAGCTGCTGACTTGGGGGAGGAGAAGCCACTCACCACACTGAAGAAAGCCAGACCGTTGGGAAGTATGTCAATGTCTTCAGCGCCAGCCTCTGTAGGTTCAAGGACAGATAAGTGTCACATTCAAATTCTATGTGTTAGATAGAGCATAACTGGGACTTTGTTTACTTTATCAGCGTGTCTGTATCTTTAGGGATCATTCCAATTTTTTCTCCCAAGGAATGACTCTTTTTAATAAACGTCAGTTTAAACCCCTTCCTGAAGTGAACTTCTGACTTGAAATGTTATATTTACTCAAATCAAAGTCAAGTTATCACCACATTTCCAGCTATAATGCAGAAAAAGTTGACATCTGTACACTCTGATGATAAACATCCAGATGTCTGTATAAAAGTAATTGACATCAGGGGAATATTCCTTTCTGAAGGAAGGGCTCACAGTCACTTAACCATGCAAATATCCTTGTCCTATTCTGTGCTCATTCAATCTGAAGCCAACAGACATTTCTCTCATTAACAGAGATAGAACACCTGGGATTACATATTCCCTCTTTAAAAACTAGTGTCTACTTATTCTCATAGGTAAAGAAAGCTTTCCATTTAATCTTTAAATATAGGCTTTAAATTGCAGGAAAAAAAACTAGCAAAAGAAAATTCATCAAAAATATCACGCTCTTAAGTCAGTTGAAGCTTCTAGCCCCTGTCTCTGAGTCAGGCTACAAAGACTATTGATGGTTTATCGATTGTCTGCAGTCCATTCCACACAGCACAGCAAATAACTAGACATGAGACCTTCCCAATGGTCTTGCCGTATAAATTTTGCAGACAGATAATAGACCCAAACACAAGAAAAAAGGAATAAAAATGGCTTAGATTAAGCCAAATCATGACACATTCTTTGAGTCCACTAAATCCAATCTTTCTTTTTAAGACTTCTCCAAAGAATTTCTTCAAGATTATTTCTAGGTTGTCAAAACCAAACAGCATCAATCTATCCAGCATTTGGGTTTTGATTCACGAGTTTGCATTAAGTTAGTTGCCTCCAGAGTGGCTTGTTCTGTCATAGTGCAGAGAAGCAAAACAAAATAAAAAATGGGCCAAGAAATATTGTGTCAAGATTACCCATCTGCGTGGTCCTAGAAAGATCTATGTGAATATGCTTAAGCATGGTATAGTCGAGGGTCTCAGCCCGAGGTCTGTGGGCCCCTGAGGAGCCATGCATGGGCTTCAGAGGATCTGAGAACCCTCTGGAATTCCGTGTGATGCAAAATGTCTCACATATGTGCAGATGAGAACTTTCCTGTGGAAACGATCCTTGACTTTCAGCAAATACAAAAAGGGTGTGTGATTCTCAAAAGGGGTTAAGAACCACTAGGTTCCAAGGGGGGTCTCCATTGGGAAGGAGCAAGGACCAGGGGGACACACACATACATGCACACAACCGTAGTCCAAGTTTTGCTTTGTGGACCCATTTGGTAGAAGCTCAATTAATTAAAATTTATTTTTTATGAACAATTATTTAAGAAAATTTAGTTCAATGTGCACATGCTCACACACATAGGAAAAGAAAGGATTTACAGACAACAATTAACATTGTTTCTCTGAATGGTAGGGTTTTAAGTGATTTTTATTTTCTTCTTTATACTTTTCTTAGAATTTCTACCAATAATAATATTGCATTCATAACTAAGAAATGAATAATCTTTTTATAAAAGATGCTTTCATTTCAACTACCTTGTCACTTAACTCTAATTCCACTGCTAATTCCAATGGGGAAAAAAAAATGGTGTCCTACCCATAGCCTTGGGAATATTTTCCAGATCTGCTTCTCCCCTCCACTGTCATGGCCACCGCAGTAGGTTTTGCCCTCTCCTGTCACCTTTTTGTTGTGATGACAGCCAGAGCAATCAATGCCGGGGAAACTTTTTCTCACCTAATTCAATAATAATAACAACAGCAACAATAACAGCTACTGATACACATCAAGTGCTTACCAAACACTAGGCTCTTTGTAAACACCTTCCCTACACTATCTCACAGAACCTATAACACCAACAGGCGGGATTCTCATCCCTTGTTTCAGAGTGACAGCGCCGAGACTATGAAAGGCAACGTGCTCAGGGTTATCAGCTGGGAAGCTGGGACTCAGGTTCTTTCCTCTGAATTAGAGGCACAAAGAAAATGCGAGACCTCATCTCTATAATAAATCAAAAATTAGCCGGGCGTGGTAGCGCGCACCTGTAGTTCCAGCTACTTGGAAGGCTGAGGCGGAAGGATCGCCGGAGCCCAGCAGGTCGAGGCTGCGGTGGCCGGGAATGGCCACTGCACTCCAGTCTGGGTAACAGAGTGAGATTCCAACTGAAAAAAAAAGACCCATGGCTCTGTCTATTCAACCGTGGTCAATTTCTCAAGTTTGCTTTCCCCACAAAGTTTTGTTCTTAACCAAGTTACATCCGCACTTTTCTGGGAATCTCTCCCAAAACTGTCTCTTTGGAAAGTCTTCTAGCTTAGCCCCCTGATTCGGATCCCGTCTTGTTGCTTAGCACTTGTCCATGTCAGACCGGCCAAGTGATCACACGTATCCATGTTCCTCTAGTCCATCTCAGCAGGGGTCTGCGGTAGCATGGAGACAAATGCCCTCCTCACCCTTTCCCACTGACAGATGTGGTCATTAGGACATGGGGGTACAAGGTGTTTGCAACTACTGGAGACCGATAATGCCCATGCAAATGTTCCATCTACCCCACCCTGCCAGGAAACAGCAACAGCCCCAGTTCCTTTCTGGATGAAGCTGGAAGCAGTGAGCCAGGGACAGTAGTGTGGCTTCATGATCATCCTTTGTTCCTGAATGACCACAGGGAACGCCATCTAATGACCCTAGGCATTTGCCTGCAGCAAGACTGATAGGTCAGAGACAAAGAAAAATAGAAGTCTCTCTTAGTAACAGAAAATCAGCCTCTGCAGTACCCGGCAGAGTCTCCAGTATGTCATGTAGCGTGTTATTTTCCACTTACTTTGGCTCACTAGTTAGGTACATTAATCACCCTGGAAAAAGATACTACACTGAAAGGAGAATTTTCACAAGTTACTTAGCTTCCTCCAGCCTGGGGTCCTTATCTGCTCCTTATCACAAGAAACAATGTGTTTTCATCCCACAATTCTTTTTATTTTGGTTTTGTCCCCACCTCCACAGGTCCATTGTAAAGTAGATGTCAAGGGCTATAGACTTCAATGAATTTTTTTCAATCTCCCAGGCAGCAATTATTATAAAGATCTTGAGTGCAAAATAAACTGTCAGTTAACTCAAGAGAGGCAGTTCGTTCACATGTTTGTTTTAGTCAAGGACTCTGAAGGCCAGACATTTAGAAAATAAGTTTTTGTTTGTTTGTTTTACTTTTAAGTCTCAAATAAAGCTAACTCGCTCTTGTCATTCTAATTTTTATTAAGTAGATGTTGACATTATGCCAAATCTTGGGTGTGGAAAAGCCTAGCTTCTGTCTGTAAGATAGACTGGAAAGGAACAGAAAAGTAGAACAAACAGCAAGATGCACTCTGTCCACAGAAGATACACATCCCAGATGGTACGTGGTCGACAACTGTGGCTCATTAAAACAGAAAGACATGAGATGATATGAGAGATACAAAGCGTGTGTGTGTGTGTGTGTGTGTGTGTGTGTGTGTGTGTGTGTGTGTGTGTGTGTGATGCTGAGGCAAATAGAGGACAAGGGGGCAGAAGTCTCACCTCTTGGAGGCATTGCTGGCCTCAAGTGAGTAGCTATTACTGTTTCTAAAATAAAAAATGAAAAACAGAGGCCAAGTACGTAATCTCAGCACTTTGGGAGGCCAACGCAGGAGGACTGCTTGAGCCCAGGAGTTTGAGACTAGAATGTGCAACAGAGTGAGACCTCCTTTCTACAAATCAAAAAACTAGCCAGGCGTGGTGGCATACTCTTGCAGTCACAGCTACTTGAGAGTTGGGAGGATCTCCTGAGGCCAGGAGGTTGAGGTTGTGGTAAGCCATGATCGTGCCAGTACACTCTAGCCTGGGTGACAGAGTGAGACTCCAACTTTTAAAAAAAGAAAAGAGGCTGAACTTGATGACTCAGCCTGTAATCCCAGCACTTTGGAAGGCCAAGGCAAGTGGATTGCTTGAGCCCGCGGGTTCAAGACCAGCCCAGGCAACTTGGCGAGACCGCATATCTACAATAAAGAAAAAATTCACTGGGGGTGGTAGCGAGCACCTGTAGTTCCGGCTACTTGGAAGGATCGCTGACACCCAGCAGGTCGCCGCTGGGGTGAACAAGAACTTGCCATGGCACTCCAGCCTGGGTGATAGAGTGAGACTCCAACTCAAAAGAAAAGAAAAACAAACAAACGAACAATAACAGTCCTCTTTGCCCTTGCTGCCTGCCTGAGTTGCTTTTGCTGCAGGGGAATGCCAGTCCAACACAGTGCTCCTCACACCTAAAGGCCACCAAATAAGCCATGGTGTTAACAATGTACAACCACAAGTTATGATTAACCATGACGCATCACCAGCATAGCATTCAGCAAATGCTCATATGGTGTGCGCTAACCACAGGGCAAAAGCAAGCAAAAAAAAAAAGAAAAAAGCACAATTCTAATTAGACCTAAAAATGTATCCCAAATGTGCTTCTAATCACTCATCCTCTCTGCTCCGCTGCCTTCTGAGTGCCTCTGAGGTATTAAGCACTTCACAAGAGAGGCCACAGGTGACAGATTGCCTCCTTCCTTCCAATTCCAGACAGCCGCTCACACATCACAACAAAAAGGTCACCACACAGACAGACGCCTGTCCCAAATACAGATGTGGTGCGAGGAGTACTCCTGCATCCCAGGGACTTGTGACAGGAACATGCTTGGCAGTTTGTCCTAAAATGTGTCTGGCTGTGCCCTGGGGCCCACCCTGAGGCTTGAATTCATAGAAGGTGGGCTTCCCCAGCCAAGGGCTGTCTGATACTGTGACAATTGTTAACACAGAAGCAAGAGATGCCTGTACGGCCTCTGGCTGCCTCCCAACCCTGTCCAGCATCCCTCCCAGGTTCCCTCAGGCCTATGCTGAGGGACCAGTCCTGGGGCTGTTCTGGCTGCTGTGCAGGGAGAGTGACACTAACGCTGCCGGGTCACTTGGGGCTCCAGAACTGCTCTAGTCCAGAGCTGTCTATGTTACCTACTGTAGACCTCGCCAGTTGGCTGTGGGAGACTGAGTCTGCCCCTCCCACTAAGCATTTGGGCAACTGCAAGAAGGAGGAGAAACCGCAGGAGTGTCAGCGGATCTACAGTGGGGAGAGAGGAAGGGACATGAAAGAAACAGAGATGAAGAAGATGGAGGACACAGGAAGCACGTTGAAAGGACCAGAGGCAAGAGAGATCGGCAAGGACACGCCCGGGGAAAAGCTTGCACCTACAACTGCGGCTTGTTTTGCTGAGAGTGCCGTGAACCCCGTCAGGAGTGGGTGTGACCACACCTGAAAGGGTCGAGTTTACCAGTGTCACCAACTCCAGGCAATCTAGCAATGACTAACCACCTAAACTTTAAACGCATATCCTAACTGAACAGCACCCCCACTGTGAAGGATGTACATATTCTTTTTTTTTTTTTTGAGTTGGAATCTCACTCTGTCATCCAGACTGGAG